TCAATGAAATCTTTTTAGTCTATGAGATCTGAAAGGACAAAATGCATCTAATGAAACAAAAATGGCACTAACAAAAATTACATAACAGTGGAGTCTTATTTTATGAAATTCCTTGGGTTTAAAACTTTAACGAGACAACAGTTATTTGTTTTGAAATAAATCTGTAGTTGGAGCTTGTGTGTGAGTACTAGATCTCTCAGTTTACAGAAAAACTTTCACATTGAGATTTCCAGCTGTCGTGAAGTCTTTCACCTGCAAAACATAAAATAAATCATAGCGTATAGTTCTTTATATGAACAAACGACAGGAAGATCAACTCTGTCCAGACGAGAATCTAATTTCCTCCACCGGCTTCTGTGCCTGAAAAACACAAATGAAACAAAATGAAACAAAACTTTAACACTTTTTTACTGTAGGGCTGCATTTTAACACAGACCACAAAGTATAAATGCTGGTTGACTTAGGAAAGAAAAACAAATTGAAAAATTGAAAATGTTATTGTCCCCTAACTCTAATAACTGGCTGTGCCACCCTTGGCAGCAAGACTGAGAATGAGTTTTTCACATGTCTGCATAGGAATTTTGTCCCACTCTTCTTTGCAGAATTGTTTTAATTCAGCCACCTCTGAGGGTTTTCCAGCATGAACAGCAGGTTTAAAGTATCTCAGTCTGATTTAAGTTCTATTAAAGTTCATGCCACATGCAACAGGTTTTAAAACGTTCGTGCATTTTAACTTTTGTCTCGTCAGCCCACAGACGTTTTTCACAAAGGTCTTGGGGATCATTCAGATGATTTTGGTAAATGTTAGACGAGCCTTCAGTCGGCAGTGATTTTCTCCTTGAACTCTCCCGTGAAGGCCATTTTTCCTCATTGTCTTTCTTTTTGTTGAATCATGAGCTCTGACCTTAACTGAGCCAGGTGAGGCCTGCGGTTCTTTAGAAAATGTTTTGGCTTCTTATTTGACTGTCTGGATGAGTCATTGATGCATTCTTGGAGTAATTTTGGTCAGCTGATCACTCCTTGGTAGGGATGAGTACCGGTACCGGTTCTGACATAAACGGTAGTAACCAGACCGAAAAGCAGCGCACATTTCGGTGCTTTATTTTGATGCTTTTTTTTTCTTGAGATGTCATACACTTTGGACTCTAGCCAATCATTTTACCTTTCCAAGGATAGTAGGTGGGCCCATGTACGTACGTTCTTTTAGAGCAGAGCTACAGATTAAAAATGCCCAAGGTGAAGCAGTCAAAAGTCTGGCTGTACTTCACAACAAATGATGCAAACTCAGCAGCCTGCAACAAGTGCTTTAAGGTGATCGTTATGAAGGAAGGAAGGCTCAGAGTTTAAGTCATCATCATCATTGGTTCATC